TAATAATAATAATAATAATAATAATAATAATAATAATAATAATAATATCATCCTTTGCTTAGCAGATCATCCTCAGAATATTCTACTTTAACTTTGGGCCCTGAGCCTACATTCAGAAATCAAACATATCATTGCTTACTTAAACCCTGAATGAGGGCTTGGACTGACAGGTGTAAATCTCTTATAAAGCATCATCTGTTTAGTGAAGCATCTTTGTTCTACACTGAAAAATCCTACAATGTCAAAACAACATCCAGAGAGCATCCAGAGTATACAACTCATAGACTTAAATCTTTCCTTCTAATGGTGAGATGCTATACATTTTTCAACGTATCATTTACTAAAACAAGGAATCAACAAAGTGCAAGGACTGTAACAACAATTATGTTGGGCAGACAGGCGGGAAACCAACTCAGAACATCCATGAATTCAAACAATCAAAAGACATGAGAATTTATTATGTTTGCAACACTCGGACAGTCTCAAGCACAGTTTCAGCTGAGAAGTTGTGAGCATTCTAGACCGAGCTAAATCCAAGAATTTCAGAGAATTCCTGGAATCTCGGCACCCAGACAAATTATCCATCTACAGACATAGAGATAAAGCAGATTTACACACTATTCAAAGAAGAAAATAAAAAATCTAAGGAGGAACAAGAAATCAGAATGCATCTTCTCCAGCAGCCTGCTGCAGCCTTTTTATGTCACTTTTGAATGGCTTGTAAATCTGATTTATCTCTGTCTATTGATGGATAATTTGTCTGGGTGCCGAGATTCCATGAATTCCTTGTTTTGGATTTGACTTTATCATGGTGTGACTGACATCAGTTAATCATGATAAGTCAAATCCAAAAAAATGTACCTAAATCAGCAAGAGTAAGAATATTGCAATCTAGAGTGATCTGAATTAGAGTTGTTGGCCAACTATTAGGTTCTCCAAGTTTTCTGGTTCAAAGCACTATGTGGGGAAATGATATGCCAATTTAATAATGCTGTCCCCAGCGGGGAAAATATTATCACTATAAGGGAGGAAACAGGTACTATTAAGAAAGCAGAGGGAAAGGGAAGAATTATATGATTACGGAAGGGTGAATCCCATCTCTAAAAACAAAGGTTCTAGAAATGCATTTTAAAAATGTCTGCTATTTAACATAAAAACAACTTTTAAAAAAGCACAGGAAGTTAACATTTAAAGGTCAGGGTTAAGAAGGGCCCTTCTAATAGGTATTGTTTGGAAATTCAGTCCATCAGACTGGGAATTATTTTTGTTTGTTTGTTTCAAAGTGTCAATTTAAAAGATATTGTAACAGTCCCAGTCTCTACACATAATGTCAATTGTGTGATGATGAAATATATTGATTCCAGACAGAGCTACCTGGTAAGGAGAACAATGAAGCCTAAAAGCTTGTTCTGAGAATATAACTTAATACAAGTAGTCCACAATTTAAGAAAATTTATTTAGTGACCGTTCAAAGTTAGAATGGCGCTGAAAAAAGGGGATTTATGACCATTTTTTCACTACCATTGCAGCATCCCCAAGGTCATATGACTAAAATTCAGATGCTTGGCAACTGACTCATATTTATGATGGTGACATTTGCAACCTTCTGACCAGCAAAGTCAACTGAGAAGCCAAATTCACTTAGCAATCGTATTACTAACAACTGCAGTTAACGTGGCAAGAAAGGTCGTAAAAATGGGGCAATGCTCACTGAAAAAATGTCTCACTTAGCAACAGGCATATATTGGGCTCAATTGTGGTTGTAAGTTGAGGACTACCTCTAGGGAGACAAGACTTCCAAGGATTTATCCCAGATTGTGTTAGCATTTTTACTGTGTACGGTGTCCAGTCCTAGGACATGAGGGGTCTTTGGTGCTCTCCGAGCTTTTTATTTATTTATTTTATCAAATGCTTACAATATAATAGAAATAATAATAAATATAAGTTTAAATATAAGAAATAGGAACTAATAATTGGGGAGAATAGGACGGGGGATGGTAGGCACGATTGTGCGCTTATTTTCTTGCAGACATCTCATTACCCAACCGCCCAATGCATTATAGGGATTCCACTTCCTGCCATTGTGGACATTCAGAGGAAACAATGTCTGCGTAGAGCCCACAGCATCATTAAGGACCCCTTCCATCCAGCCCACAAACTCTTTACTCTTCTTCCATCTGGGAGGAGGTTCAGGTGCCTGCAGTCTAACACCAGCAGGCTAGGGAACAACTTTTACCACACAGCGGTTTCCTTGCTGAACTACTCAGTTCGTTTGTCCCCACACATATGCTGATGCTTCCCTTGATAATATATTATGTATTTTGTATAATTCTCTGTGCATTTGTATTTATATTCAATGTGTCCATAAACATTTTATACAGTTGTATATGTTCATATATGTGCAGTCACACTTATCTTTGTGTGCTCATGTACATACATTTTGTTGTGTTTTCCATTGACATATTCATAGATGCCTTGCATATTTGCATACATATATTTATATTTTACTGTTGTTTTGCACTTCTGGTTGGATGCTAACTGCATTTCATTGCCTGTATCCATGGCAATGACAATAAAGTTAAATCTAATCTAATTACCAAAAATAGATAACATCATCAGTGCTAAGTAAGGAGTGGGATTTGCTCTGTTTATATTCTGGTCGCTTACCCTGTCAGTGTTTGGGGCTGCAATCTTACAAGGTCTTTGGTTAGGCCAGAGATCTTCAAACTTGACAGCTTTTAAGACTTGTAAACTTCAACTCCCAGAATTCCTCCTCTAGTCATGTTAGCTCAGGAATTCTGGGAGTTGAAGTCCACAACTCTTAAATTTGCCAAGTTTGAAGACCCTTGGGTTAGGCTGAGTACTGTTACCTTATTTGGCCACTCCTTAGTTGGGAACTGTTTACTTCTTGACTGTTGATTCGATGTTAATCTTGGAATTCATCCATGCTCATCTGGTTATGTTGATTGCTGGTATTAATAATAATATCATCCTTTGCTTAGATCATCCCCAGAATATTCTACTTTAACTGTGGGCCCTGAGCCTACATTCAGAAATCAAACATATTATTACTTACTTAAACCCTGAATGAGGGCTTGGACTGACAGGTGTAAATCCTACAATATCAAAACAACATCCAGAAAGCATCCAGAGTATACAACTCATAGACTTAAATCTTTTCTTCTACTGGTGAGATGCTATATATTTTTCAACGTATCATTCACTAAAACAAGGAATCAACAAACACATATAGTGCAAGGTCTGTAACAACAATTATGTTGGGCAGACAGGCAGGAAACCAACTCAGAACATCCATTTGGCTTGTTAATTGTCTCTTTTGCACAGTAAGTAGATTTTGTTCATGTCTAAGTGTGTACATGTTAAGCCTTCCCTGAATGCACTGGCTCATAAAGTCAACCATTACTGCTTTTTTTCCCTTTGTTGTTGTTGAACTTTTCAGAAGTCTTTTTAATTTTAGCAGCCCAGGACCAGAGCAAAAGACTCAGCTTTAGCTTAGAGCCAAGTCCTGCCAATCGGGCTTCTCAGAGGACATTGCTATCCTTTTTTCTAATTTTAATAGAGGTGTCGGATGAACTCCAGGCACCAATCCAGGAAAGCAATTCCTGTAAGTTTTACAAAGCTAACTTGCTCAGGGGGCTGAGGAATATACTTCTCAACTGCCTAAATAAATTGATAGAGGGAACCTAATTCTATCTCTCCGCTGGAACTGAGACTTAATCCCTTCCAATTTAAAAAGCAAAACAACGCAACTACAACCCACCACAATCCACCCAAATGAAACGCTCCTGTGAGGCGAGGCTGCCTTTTATACAGCGCCGAAGCCACGCCTACCGGTCCGCCCCACCCCACGCCTCGAGGCCGGCCTCCAGGAGGCGGGGCGAAGCGGAACCGGAAGTGCGAGAAGGAACGGGCGGAAGGGAGGGAGGAGCCTCCTGGCACTGGATTGAAGGCGCGGGGCGTCTCTTCCCTTTGCCTCGCTTTGTGGGTAATGAGATGCAATGATGATGATGATGATGATGATAATAGTAATAATTGCTTGTTTTAAAGCCTGGGGGGGGCGGCGATTTTTAAAAACAGCCTTCCCGCCATTCACTGGAGTCTCCTCTCCCCCCACCTTACCTGGATTGTTTTGATTTTTGCATCAGGGAGCTAGTCCTCTGGATCTTGCAAGGATTCTGCAGCCCCCCACCTCTCCTCCCCCAGGACCGTTTGGAAGGGGAAAGGACAGGGTGGAGCGGGATCTAGATCAGATCAGGGAGGTTTTTTTTCCCCCTCCCTCTGATCCTAAACCCCACCACCACTCGTTGTGTAATTATGTGATGATGACACAAATACCCGTTGTGTAATTTTGGATCTACAGCAGGGGGTGGGAGAAAGCAAAGACAGAAGGCAACCACTTGCTGCCACTTCTCTTCCTTTTGCGGTTGCTTAAAGAGCCCAGGTGCCTCATTTGTCTGGAATTTTATAGGGTCTCCTGCTTGAGCAGAGGGTTAGACTAGAAGACCTCCAAGGTCCCTTTCCAACTTTATTATTCTGTGTGTTCTTGATGGCAGAAATTACAAGAAATATCCCTAAGGTTTAGGGGCCATCAAGGCTTTTCCCAGAATTACACCTGTAACAGAAACTTTTTTTTTATGACTAGAGACTCCATAGGTTTTATGTAGAGGTGAGTGCAGGCCTTCCTTCGAGTTTGCTTTTGACTAGTCCCTGCCATTTTCACAACAAAGTTTTTTTGGTTTGCCCTTGCTTGCTTTCTAGGGCTGAATGGGAGTGACTGGCTGAGGGTCACTCACCTGTCTTGATCCCCAAAGCAGGAGGAGTACAACTCACATCCTTCTGGTTTCCAGCCTGATGCCTTAACCATCCTTTTAAAAGAGAAGATATTTGCTGGATATTTGCAAGGAGAGGGGACTTCCTGCTCTCTTATGAGCAACTGTAAATATTTCCCTTGCCCTTCTGAACTTTAGTCCTGATCAGATTTACTCAAAAATGAATGGGCTTCTGGTAAACTCATCCCCAAGGCAACAGACCTCAAGAATTGTCTCCATGGCTATAGTTGACGCAGAAAATGAAGGATTTTGTGTTGGCTCAAAAGCTGCGTTTCTTTTGAGCCCGAGTATTCTGTTCTATTTCTTCTCTGCTTTGATTCAAATGCTTTTCTTGGGGTTGACTGTTACTTTCAGGGTTTTTTTTGTTGGACATCTGTGACAATCTGATCGTTTACCTTCTACAATGCCTCTTAAGATTGTCCTGATATCCCCTTGCAACAATGTGTCTGAAGATGTAAATACATATTTTATGGGCTCACAGTACTTAAAGGACAGCTATCACTTAATATAGAAAAGAGAAGCTTGCTTATGTTAAACTGGTTTTGTATGGCCAGATTGTCGACAATTATCAAATTTAACATTTACACAGGTGTTTTGTTTTCAGGAAATAACAGATGGTGGGATTCTTTTATGTATTTTTTCAGGAATTCCAGAATGGCTTCTACTAATGACGTGGTTCAGAATTATCAAAGTATGTTTGCTTATCGATACACTACAGAGGATAAAGAATACCAAAAATACCTCCAGAGTTCTGCCAATCCACCTCCTATAATTGAAGACTGGATGAACAGGTCTGTCTGTTAACATTTTCCTTATCTCAAAATTTTGTTGGATGACTGTGGGCAGTCACAATTATGCAGTGTGTGCCGTAAAGGCAAAATCCTAAACCAAGATAACAGAATGCAGAACAAGCCACAAATCCTAAATATAGCTAGCTCCACAGTGGCTAAGGAACATTTATTTTAAATGACTGTGCTTGTATGTTTCAGGATTAAATATATTTGTTTTTGTGCTTTATAGATCAAAATGCAAATTCCTTCCACATTTTCCTCGATAAGAATGTGGTTATGTACTGTTACCTATGTTAATGGTTTACAGATGTGGTATGATGAGAATTTTATAAAAGTTTTTCTGGCCATGTTAGTCTGTTTACTCAGGTGCATAAAGATATTATGTTTAAGATTAGAGAGACAATTCCCAGTAATTGAATTGACTGCCACAGAGTATTTGCTACATCCTGACCTGTATAATGGGTATAATAACAACTTGATTTATTTATAGTGCCTTTAATATGTTTACCACAATGGCTGTTGCTTCCCTGTCCCTGTTTATACATTTCAGCTACTTTTTAAAAAAATTAATTTTAATTGTAAGCTGCTTTTCAAATCTTGTAGTTTTAAGAACACAGGATTTCCATAAGGAAAATTGAAAAACTTTTATATAAATGGTAATTTTAATAAAATTGTAAACAGCTGGTAGATGTTTATGGATTCCCTATGGCTTATTTATCTGCGATTTTTGAATAAACTAATATAGTATAGCTTTGCAAACAGATTAATGGTTTAAGATCAAGATAGTTAAGTTTATACAATATATGGGCATAACCAGACAAGCAACATTAGGTCTAGTGGGTTAAGGCACCAGATTAGAAAGCAGGAGACTGAGTTCTAATCCCACTTTAGACGTGAAAGCCAGCTGGGTGACATTGGACCAAGTACCTCTCTGTCTCAGCCCAACTCACCTCACAGGGTTGTTGTTTGGGGGAAAATAGGAGGAAAATGTGTTGGATATGTTTGCCGACTTATTTGTAAAAATAATAAAGGTGAGATATAAATGAAAACATGAATAAACAAACATGCAATAAATATATCTGCATGAATACCAACCAAAATGTACCAATAAAGGAGAATATTTGTAGCTCAGGGTAGAAATGAGGGGTACTTGGTGCTCTCTGAGGTTGTTTTCTTGCAGACATTTCATTACCCAGCTAGGTAATATCATCAGTGCTAGTAAGGAATGCAATTTGCTGTCAGTTTATATTCTGGTGTCTTGTCTGTCTGTCCACCCCTACCCACATAGACAAGCAAGATACCAGATTATAAAACTGACAGCAAACTCCACTCCTTACTAGCACTGATGATGTTACTTAGTTAGGGTAATGAAACGTCTGCAAGAAAATAAGCTCAGAGAGCACCAAGGATCCCTCAGCCAAAATGTATTTGAAATATATTAGCTTACCTTGGAAATTTATCACGAGGATGAGTGTACAAGATCACAAAAAGCTAAAAACAGCTGAATGATCAGAACATGCTTTAGAAATAACCTAGAGATTACAACCTGGTTGGTCACAAACTGGCATAGTAACCTTGTTTTCTAGGAAAATCTTTCTTTAGCAGTTGTATAAATAGCCTGTCCATAATTGCTGAAATCCTCTGACTTTGTTGAAAGCTGCAGAAGATTAAATGTCAAACATGTCAACTGACTCCCTGTGACTCGAAGCACAGAAATACATTTTAGATTGTGTGTGGGGGTTTTTCTGTTCCATTTCTATGTTGAATCCATCAGGCTTTCAAGGAGACTGAAATGCTGTAACTAATTGCCAAACCTAGTTTACCGCAGCAAGAACAAAACTGCATACTATAGATTGGCTTTAAGAAAAGCAGATAAAATACTCGGAAGATTGATAGAGCTGGCTTATTTCAACCCGATGGATCAGAGATTGTACAGTTTTCATTCTGTGTGATTTATTTATTTATTTATTTATTTGATTTGATTTGATTTGATAATCACTTACAAGATAATAGTAAGTAAGTAAGAATATGGGAAATAGATACGAATAAATGGGGACAACTGGATAGGGATGGTAGGCATGATTGTGTGCTTATGCAGGCCCCTGACAGACCTCTTAGGAATCAGGTTAGGTCAACAGTAGACAGTCTAAGGTTAACATTTTGGGGGGTTAGAGGATGTAACAGCAGAGTCAGGTAGTACATTCCATGCATTGACCACTCTCTTGCTGAAGTTGTACTTTCTGCAATCAAGTTTGGAACAGTTTACTTTGAGTTTGTATCTATTGTTTGCCCGTGTGTTATTGCGGTTGAAGCTGAAGTAGTCATTTTTTTAAAAAACAAACTTTATTGATTACAAAACCAAAATATCAAACAAACACAACACACAGAAGAAGAAAAAAAGAAATAGAAAAAAAGAAAATGATTAAAAGCTAACTTGTTGATAGACACGTGGAGGAAATTAAACCCTGAGAAAAAGCAATTTACATTTTACTCCAACCCTCACCAGTCATGGACACGAATCAATATGGTGTGGATGAATGGTGAATTAGTAAATGAATTAAGAGATTGAAATTTTACCAAACAAATGGGCAGATCACAACCCGATTCAGATAGTGTGGAAAGGCAGGAAGAAACCAAGGAAAAGGTGGACCTTAAATACACAGTTAATTAAAGAGAAAGAATTTATGAATAAACTTGACGAAGAATTAAACTATTTTTTAAAAGAAAATAATAATGAGGCAACTATGAAACAGAATATTTGGGATACAATGAAGGCAATAATAAGAGGCATAATGATACACTGCTAAAAGAAATAAAGAAAAATATGCCCAACAAAATAAATTAGAACAAAGAATCGAAGAATTAGAAATTCAGCTGCAAAACACCCCAAAAGATCGCAAATTGAAAAAACAGATGATAATAAACAAACATAAATTTAATTGAACAAGAAGGAATGGTCTCAAAGTTAAATACAGCTAGACAGATATTTTTTGAACAGGCCAATAAACCAGGAAGGTGGTTGGCCTATAAACTTATAAAAGAAAAACAAAAAAGATTGATCTACCAATTAATAGATGAAAACGGGGATGCCCAACAAGTTATAGAACAGAAAAAAGAAATTGCATGTAAATTTTTTGAAGATCTTTATAAAAAGAAGGAGGTAAAAGAGGATATGATAAGAAACTATTTGTGTATTACTAAAGACAAAATAATTAAGGAGGAGATGAAGGAAATGTTAATTAGAGATATTACGTGGCCCGAGTTAAAAGCAGCAATAGAAAACCAAAAGAACAATAAAACCCCAGGCCCCAACGGGATACCAGGGGAACTTTATAAAAAAAATAGGAGAACAAATAAGACCTCTCTCATGGTGGAAGTATATAATGAGGTCCTACTAGCAGCAAGAATGCCGGATTCATGGAAGGAGACATTGATATCGTTGATTCTGAAAGAAGATTCAGATTTACGACATATACAAAATTATAGACCAATTTCCCTGTCAAATACTGATTATTAAATATTCACTACAATTATAGCAAATAGATTGAAAAAAAAATGAATGAATATATACATAAAGATCAAAACAGATTTCTTCCTAAAGAACAAATCAGAAATAATTTAAGGATAGTATTAAATGTTTTCGAATACTACGAAGCCCATCCGGAAAAACAAACAGTCCTTGTATTCTTGGATGCACAAAAGGCCTTTGACAATTTAAATTGGCAATTCCTAATTCAACAAATTTACAATATGAATCAAGGCACTAAGTTTGAAAACATCATGACTACAATTTATGATTCACAAACAGCAAATATTATAATTAATGGAGAGTACACGCGCTCAATAAAAATAGAGAAAGGAGTCAGGCAGGGATGTCCATTATCTCCCCTGCTCTTCATATTATCTTTGGAAACATTGCTTACACGAATTAGACAGAATCCAGGAATAAAAGGACTAAATATTAAAAAAGAAGAATATAAACTCCAGTCATTTGTGGATGATATGGTATTTTTCATAGAGGAACCAATTGAAACAGGTCAAGAATTACTGAAAGAGTTAGATCAATTTGGGGAAGCTGCAGGACTTAAAATTAATAGGGAAAAAATGAAATTAATAACTAAAAATTTAACAGAAAAACAAAAACTAAAATTGGAAAGGATAATGGGATTACAAATAGTAAAAAAAGTTAAATACCTAGGAATTTGGTTGACGGCTCAATGCAAAACTCTAATGGAAAATAATTATAATAAACTATTACAGCAAGTTAAAAAAGATTTAGAGATATGGGTTAAACTGCAAATCTCCTTATTAGGGAGGATTGCCACTACAAAAATGAATATTCTGCCCAAATTTATTTACTTATTCCAAACAATACCAATAAAAATACATAAAAATTACTTCATGGAACTTAACAAGATAATCACCAAATTTATCTGGCAAGGGAAAAAACCGAGGATAAACCTAAAGGCAATGCAAGATATGAAGAGCAGGGGAGGCATGGCACTCCCAAATTGGGAATTATACTATAGTGCAGCCTCCTTACTCTGGTTGAAAGAGTGGGTAAATCTGTCGAATAAAAGGATCTTATTTTTAGAAGGCCATGATTTACAGAGGGGATGGCATGCATTTTTATGGGACATTGGGAAAATTAAGCAGAAGTATTTCCACAGACATATAATTCGAGATTCCTTATTGGCTAATTGGAACAAAATAAAAAAACCATTATTTAAAAATCCCAATTTGGATCTCAACGATGGAGGCGATGATACATCCAAATAATCTAGATCTTAATAAAATGATAAAATGCAAAGACCTTCTTGATGCGCAAGGAACTTTAAAATCATGGCAAGATCTCCAAGAACAGGGGCTACAAGTAGACCGGTGGGCTTACTTGCAAATTCAAAATAGATATAGCCAGGACAAGAAAATTTTTGGAATTTATACTAAAGCACAACAAATAGATAAAATTTTATTTGGTCCAGATAAAAAAAATATAACTAAATTTTATAATTATTTACTAGAGACAGAAGAGGAAGTAGTCAAAGGCAACATGATAGCTTGGAGCAGAAACATAGGACGTAGCATTACATTATTAGAATGGGAAAAGGTTTGGACAAGGAATAATAAAATTACAAGATCAGCAGCATATAAAGAAAATGCCTATAAAATGTTTTATAGATGGCATCTCTCACCCTTGAGAATAGCGAAAATGTCTCCTAACATGAATCTGAATTGCTGGAAATGTAAAAAGAAACAGGGAACATTTTTTCATATGTGGTGGTCCTGCACTGAAGCCCAAAGATACTGGCATAGAATAAAAAAATGCTTAGAGGAAATAATGGTGGAGCAAATTGAATTAAAACCAGAATTCTTCCTATTGGGGATATTTAATAGACAAATTCCTAACAATGTCAAATATAGTGCATATTCTTACTGCAGCCAGAACAACCTTTGCACAGTGTTGGAAACAAACAGATATTCCAACAGAGGAGATGGTTATACAGAAGATAACAGCCTGTGCAGAGATGGACAAGTTAACATTAGCACTTAAGGAAAAAGAAACATCAGAATATTATAGAAGCTGGGAATGCTGGTATGACTGGATAGAACAAAAATAGAAAATATATTAGTAAATAACGTAAAATGTAAATCATAATTATATATTCGCAATAAGATGTATTTGTAAATGTATCACCAATATTGATAACAAACAACGAACTGTAGACTGTCGATAGTAGAATTGTTTGTTTTTTAATCATTTTCTTTTCTTCTTTTTTCTTCTTCTGTGTGTTGTGTTTGTTTGATATTTTGGTTTTGTAATCAGTAAAGTTTTTTTTTTTAAAAAAAAAGCTGAAGTAGTCATTGACAGGTGGGACATTGTAGCAGATAATTTTGTGTACTCCGCTTAAGTTCAACTGTAGGGGGCATAGTTCAAGGTTGTCCAAGCCCAAAATCTCAAGCCTGGTGGTGTAGGGTATTTTGTTGTGAGCAGAGGAGTGTAGTACTCTTCTCATGAAATACTTCTGGACTCGCTCAATTGTATTAATGTCCGATATACAGTGAGGATTCTAGACAGATGAGCTGTATTTGAGTATTGGTCTGGCAAAAGTTTTGTCTGCCCTAGTTAGCTGCCGCACTGCTTTCAAACCCCTCCCCCCTCCCTTTTTGTTGGCAACTCTAAAAAAACACATAGAAATATTTTATGAGTTGACACCCAGTTTGTCCCAGTAACTTTAATTTCTTTTCTTTTTATGAGAGCATATGCACTGAGGACAAATTCCTTGTGTGTCTAATCACACTTGGCCAATAAAGAATTCATTCATTCACTCATTCACTTTTACAGACGTTTCATGAGATCCTTTTTAACCTTGCAGAGAACCAAGTGCACCCTCTGTGTCGGAGATCCTCCAGAATTACGAAAATAAGTTTGCCCATCGATTCACTTCCGAAGATGAGGAGTACCAGAAGTATGTTCAACGCCCTGCTGATCCGCCTCCCTTACTAGAAGACTGGCGAAATAGATCGGGTGGTAACCAGCGTTACAGAGATCGGTATTACAGCTGCTTTTTTTCTTTTTTAAAAAAAAGTTTTTATTGTATGGATGGGGAAAAAATGTGAACACTGTACAGGTAGTCCTTGGCTTACGACCACAGTTGAGGCCAAGACTTTTGTTGCTCAGTGAAACGTTTGTTAAGTGAGCTTTTTTCTTGGGGGGGCGGGCATTTTACAACCTTCCTTGCCACCGTTGTGAAGTGGATCCCTGCACTTGTTAAATTAATAACATGAGCAATGCAGTCCTTTTGGCTTTTCTGAGAAGATTACACACCTCTGATTCGGGCAACCCTGAGGTCGCAAGTAAAAACCCCAAGCATTTTCAATGGCTCTCAAGAAAGTGTGAAAGACTGAGCCACAGTGTCACAGTGGTTAGAGTGCAGTACTGCAGGCTACTTCTGCTGACTGCCGGCTGCCTGCAATTTGGCAGTTCGAATCTCAGCAGGCTCAAGGTTGACTCAACCTTCCATCCTTCTGAGGTGGGTAAATGAGGACCCAGATTGTTGGGGGCAAGAGGCTGACTCTGTAAACCGCTTAGAGAGGGCTGGAAAGCACTGTGAAGTGGTATATAAGACTAACTGCTATTGCTAAGTAGGAAGGAAGGAAGGAAGG